CACTTTATAAAGAAAAGGAAAACGTGTTTGTCTGACTCCAGTGATTGGCTGGGCGTCTCTATTTCTTGGATTTGACACTTCTAGGTCATGTTTTCTAGAATTGTGAAGGAAGAGATGTAACGGAAGCATGAAACAGCTATGAGTCTGATGCCTTGAGAGCTGACAAAATCTACAAATTCTAAAAGATCACTGTTTTTTAAAAAGCGCCAGATTTATACAGATCCTATGCTGGGTCCTGTTCCAACACCGGAGGGAGAAAAACCTGGAGAGAAGCAGCCCTTCTGCTGACAGGGCGCGAATTCCAAGAGGGACGGTAACAGCGCTGAGCTGTGCTCAGGCCTTCCCTCCCAAGCCTGATTATTGTGCATCTTCTCTGGGTTGCTCGTTTGGACTCCTTACTCTCAGTGACAGATGCACCCCGGCCTCTCACCTGGGAAAGCATATGCCCTCAGTGCTGGATCCCTGTCCCCTCAGCCCTGGTTCCTCTCAGCTGAGTTTCAGAAGGCAATAGCCTTTCTTTGGTGTTCTCCCTTATCTCTCCTATTAGTTGTCTTATCGGTCATCTCCTAGCCTGGGTTTTTTGTTTTTTTTTTTTTTCCCTTCTTTCAATTACTAAATCTAGTAGATTTTTCCAGTTTTCTCCCTCTCTCCTTCTCTCTTGCTGTCTTTCTTTTCAATGCCAGATTTGATTTATATATATATATATATATATATATATATATATATATATATATATATTTGCACACGTCTATCTCATTCATTAGAGTGTATGTTCCAGGAGGACTGAGATGGTATTTAATTCAAAACTTTAAGATGACCACAGTGCCTGGCCTATGCAAGTTCTTAAGGGATGTTTGTTAAATAAATAGATTACTCCTCATTGGACCAATGACTTTCAGGAATGTGGGACTAACGGCATTTATATAGACTTGTATTGTTGTTTTATTTAAACGATGTGGTCTGTCTTTCCACATGGTTTGGCTTTAAGGGACTCATTTCCTGTTTCTTTTAAATGGTTTTTTTTTTTTTTCTTCTCTGAAATCCTTTTGCTCTGAAGTCCCGTCTCCCCACCCCCTGTTCTGCAAGTTCAGTCCCTTTTGCAGGAGGTCTCAGCCTTCAGGGGCCTCCCTGTCCAGGCTGGAGGTAAGGCCCTCTATTCCATTGTTTGCTTAGCCGCCTGGGTGGTTCCCACTTTGCAAGCAGAGGAAGCAGCTAAAGCCAACCCTGGGGAGCCCAAATGTGGCCTCTCCATGCAGGCAGCTGGTGCTGGCTCAAAGTGCAGCAAGGACCAGGGCCTTCCTCAAGGGCAGCTGCTGCACATCTTTCCCAGAAGGCGTCCTCTTCAGTTGTGTGCTTTCTGCTCACCCCCCACCATTTTTTTTATACTGAGGATGGAACCTAAAGCGGGCCCTCTTCTGCTGGGCAAGCCTTCTCTCATTGAGCTGCACACCCATCCTTCTTTTCAATTCTGAGACAGTCCCCGCGTCGCGTCAGTCTGCCGGCCTTGGACTCACTCTGGAGTACAGGAAGTTCTCAAACTTGCGATCCTCCTGTCTCAGCCTCCCAAGTAGCTAGAATGCCAGGCCTATACTACTGGATTTGGTTTTATTTATTTATTTTTATGGATGATCATAAGCTGATATAACCACACTTCAAATATTTGAAATTACAATGGGGGAAAAAAAACCTTCATGTAATCTCCATATCTTCAAATGGTCTCTCACAATTGATTTTTTTTTTTTTAATGTGATTCTGGTAGTTTCTGCTCCTTTTACTTACTGGGTTCCAAGTGTTCTGACACTGTCATTTTCCATCAGGACACTTTTGGGTTTTATTTTTTATTGGGGGAAATCTCAAGCCATTGGAGAAATGCTCTTCAAGAATTTGGTTTATTGTTGCCCAGGAAGCCTGTGGCTCAGAGAGTTCTGACAATACCAGATAATCAGGCTGTTTATGGGGAACAGCTGCCACCTGAATTTGGTTTTCCCACAAATGAAGGTAAAAGCTACCACATGAACCAAACTGCTTTTCTACAGCAAAATTTATGCACTGTAACTGAGTAATAGAAACCTTGAGAGATAATTAGATATGCAGATGGAAATTTTATGCTTCGATATGGATTTATGCTTTAAAAAAATACGTACGTTATTAACAATTACTAAAAGTTTAAAATACCCGAATGTCTTAGTCTGTTTTGAATTGTAACAAAATACCTGAGGCTGAATAAAAAAAGGTAAATTGACTTCTGATCCAGATATGACCATCTTCTAAAAACTGTGGGGGGTCCAAGCAGAAGATGTCAGCCTCCAGTTCTGCCTGGCCCTCCCATCCCCACTCCCTGACACTTGCATAGCAAAACACAGAGGGGGGAAGAGAAATGCCCATATGAAAGGAAGATCAAGCAGATGAACATTCAACAGCTTCCTCCCTTGAGAAGCAATTCAAGTCTGTGGGGTCCCACCCAGCTTTCAAGACCAGCATTAACCCTTCCATGAGGATGGACCATGTCCTATTCCCCCACCACCAAGTCCTACCTCCCTACTCAACATTGCTATCCTTCCAATCCAGCTGTCAGTGAATGGACCTCTGGAGAACAACATCCTAACCATCACACCAAGACTCTGGGAATGCACACACATGAAAGAACAGAGCAGGATAATTTGAGAAGGAAGATAAGCAGAAATTGAAAACGGGAGAAATGGACGTTAGGTTATGAGCAAAGCATGCATCAAATGAACTCCAGATGCTTTCCAATTGTTCAGAAAACACCAGAACAAAGGCAAGTGAATTGTGAAGAATTGCTTCTGCAAGACACAGCTGGTCAGAGCTGACACCGGGGAGCAAGGACGCCAGTGGCCTTCACTGTCACCACGGCTCCCTTTTCAGAGTCCTCTTATTCCTTTGATTTAGGGTAGTGGAAAATAACAAGGTCTTATATAGCCCTGGCTGGCCTTGAACTCCAAATCCTCCCTCCATCTTCCAAGTGCTAGGATCACATGACAAGCAAACAGGAGTCTTAGGTCCCCAATTAGGAACTTGGTTTTGCATTTATTTACAAGTTTTCTGCCCTTGCCACTATGATCCTCAGCCTTAGTGTATGGAAGAGGAAACTCAGTCTGTGCTCTTTGCTTCTCCTTTTTATGGGAAGGTGGAATACGGAGAACAGAACTTTTGCTGCCTGTTGTAGCCAGAAGCTATTGTTGAATTTTACCATAATCTGACTCCTGAGAAGACAGAACCTTCTGTGAAGTGTCATGGACTAGCTGTGACATTGCAGGTCTCACAAAGGATTGGTATTTTCTATCCTGTGGAAAGAAAGATGGATTAATTGATGGTTCTCATTAATGCTTATTATATGCATTTGCAGGCCTAACCTTAAGCCTTTGATGTCCCCCAGACTAGGGACAGCAGAATTACAGGTCCTGGCCCTGGCTTTATAGTAGTTGGGGTTAGTGGCTGGGGGCATGTATTTGGTTCTGACTGAAGAGTTGTGAGGGATGATATCATCCAGTATTTCCAGACTGATCACTCATTATCATTATAATTACTTTCCAATGCTCTCTTGTCCCTTCTGCTATGATGACTGGTAAGGTGTGAGACAATCACTAATCAACCAATGAAGAGACACAGTGTAGAGTGTTCAGCTAATTTGGGATGGACATGTACAGGGATGAGCAGTAACTCTTTGTTATAAAGAAAAATCTAGTTCTAAACTAAACATAATGCAGCCTATTTGACTTGATAAACATGATAATGAAGAAAACATGGGGCCGAACCTTCACATGGACTGGCTCATTTAGATCCTCACAAGAACACAATGTGATAAATGCTCTTATTAATAGATGCTCTTATTATTAGATCTTACTAATACACCGTTAATAGAGGAGGAGACAGAATTAAAGAGCTTAAATAATGTTTCAAAAGCCTCCTACCTTGGAAATGGCAGGTCTGAACTTTGAACTCAAGTTTTCTCTGACAAAACCAAGATACTATTATTTCCAGAGCATTCCTTAGAAGATAAAATGCTACGGCAGCTCAGGGAGTGGTGATTAGCTCACCCCTTGCACTCTGGAAGAAACAGTCAGTTGTCAAGTTCTCAGCCTGCTCTCCTATCCAGGTAGCAGGAGGCATCCCCCTCCCCTCCCCCCCCCCTTGAGTCCCCTCTCCTGCAGCGGGGTGCATGCCTAGAGCCTCCCTATGCCCCACGTTGTTGACCCGGTGACAGAGTAGCACCTTTGAGTAAGCAAAGTCGCAGTGCAGAAGAGACCAGAAAGTCAGCTTTGGCCAATTAACGTATTTGTGATCTTGAAAAGGTTAATCTCTGTCTCTCTCAGCTTTGGTTTCTTTTTTAGTGAAATGGGGGAAAGTTGTAGAGTCCAATTCAGAGCCTAGCGTCAGGAATGAGGGAGGCAGTGTGTAAAGCGATTAGCACCCTCTCCCCCTCCCCCGCCCATATCTTCAGAATAACCAATGCAGTCACTCTATCTACATGCGAACATTTTGAAGGTTTTCATTCCCGTGGAGAGGAAAGAGGTCTTCTTGGAGAGAGGCCAGTGGTGTTCAAAACGCCGGAAGTAAGAGAAACACAGGAGCAATTCTCACGCACTGGAGGGGAGGCCTCTTTCAATATAAGAAGAAAAGTAAATCTACTTGGTGAATAATAATTTTTCTTGGTGATTTTCTTTTTGAAAATGGTCGTTATGTTTTTACTTGAGGGTGCCTTTTGTTATTTGCGGAGATGAACCAGCTTCCGCCGAGGTGAACCAATCCTTTCCCCTCTCAGATCTTATCGGCTTCTTATCTGTAAGATGGATAGATTGGGGCCAGTCTCCCCAGTGTCTGGTGGCTGTTTGATCCTGCCATGCCCTGTTGCATCCGCTGGGGAGGAATGTGTCTGGAGCCTGTTTCTGTCTTGGGTTGTGGAACCCAGCCTGGAGGGGCTTCTTCAGAATGAAGGAAAGGGGACCCAGACTCGCTTCTGTTCAATGTTAGAGCCCTGTAGCTTTCTCTGGTCGGGCCTAACGCATGGGACCAAAGGAAAAGCTCTGGGAGTCTGCAAACACGGTTGCAGAGCAAGTGCGTTTTCTTTGCATTCCCCCCACCCCCTTCGCGGTAGTGCAGCAGAGAGGACCAACAAACAGCAGCAAACGATGTTAATTGCGAAGCCCCAGCCCCAGACTTTAACCGAGAGGGATGTTTAAATTCTGGAAAACCTTATGGATAAGCCTCGCAATTATGTACTTAGTCACAACCAGAGGGGAGGAACTTTGGAGGCACTGGATTGAAGAGACACAAAAGTCAGGAAGTGACCCTTTCGTGGGGACTGCAGAGGCCACAGAGGAGAAACAAAGTCCCCTCACAACAGGGAAGACGGACCGTACCATCCCAGGGGGCCGGAGTAGGGAAGAGGGCGTTGGAAACTGACATCCTCGCTCTCAAGGAGCCGGCGAGGACACGGGATTTCCCGGCTGAAAAGCCCCAGTGTCTGCCTGTCCCGGCCCAGCCTCTCCCCTGCCGTGGAGGCCTGGGTACCGCAGCCCGGGGGCGCCCTGCATCACCACTCTGTGAGCGGGCGGGGCCCTGCTCCCCAGCCTGGGGATGGATGGCGTGCCCTAGCCAGCCCATCTGCGGCCACGGCTGGTCCGGGAGGAAGCCGTCCCCGGGGATGAATGGGGCTTTGTTCGCTGCCAGCCGCGCTCCCCTCGCGGCCCGGCCAGGCACAACGGAGGCAGTATGCGACAGGCATGGAAATGAGCCGCGGGCTCTCCCCTCGCAGCGCCCAGGAATGCTGGCCAGCCGGAAAGGAGCCCTCGCCGGGGACCCGCTCCCGCGCCTCTGAAACCCCATTGAGAAGGGCTCTTTGAAGCAATTAAAGCGTGTTTCACGGCGGCCTGGGAGGGGGCCCGGGGTCGGCCAGCTTCTCTTTTACCCTCCTTCCCTGTCCTACCGTGTTTGTGCACCTTGGTGTGGCGGGTTACCTAGAGACCAGGCCAGAACCGGCTCCCTCTCATGCAGAGATTCTGTAACCTCACAAAAGCGTCCCCAAAAACAGATTGCTTGTCACCAGGGGGTGGGAGTGTGTGTGTGTGGCGGGGTGGAACCCAGTTTGGACCTGATCCAAGCTGACCTGCAGAGTCTGGGTTCCTGCTTTCAGAGGCCTCTTTGCTGGGCTCTACACCCACCTGCCCTTGCTGTCAGGTTTGGGCGGGACAAGAAATCGCCTCTGGACAAGGAAGTCCTGAGGCTGCGGCTCAGCATTTTCCATTTTCTCAGTGGCGGGGTGGGCTGTGTTCAGGTCTAGAAGTGATGTCACAGCCAGCCCTGTGAGTGATGTAACCTGCACATGTTGAAGGACTAGAACCGGGCGGCTATTTTGAGACTCTTGAGTTCCTTCCTTCCTCCCTGGAGACAAGTGGGTAACTGTGGAGAACTCACAAAGCTGCCCTGGGTACAGCGGTTTTCGTCTGTTCCAGTGAAAAAATCCTAAGGCCGGAGAAAAAGCGGGCGTGCTTGTGAAATTCTTTCTAATTTGGAGGTGGGCGCATGTGGCAAGTGTGTGGATTGGAGCCCCAGTAACATCTATGTGAAAAGGTTTCACTGAGTTCTCTGTATGGTTGACTTTATACCCTTTTTCCTTGAGACTGATAGTTAAAGCATGCTTCTTCTCCAGCAGGTGCTTCCTGGAGAACATGATCCCTTTGTTGTCTCGGTGTTTGTTGTATGTTTTTGAGACAGGGTCTTGATGATGCTGTAGTCCAGATCCGACTGCCTCTGCTTCCAAGTGCTGGATTTACAGGCATGTGCTGCCTTGACTGTCATGATCCCGTGGTTTGTTGTTGTTTTGGCAGGGGAGTTGGGGTAAGGGTCTGTGTTCAGAGCAGATCCTTAACAATGCCTGTCAGCGCTTAGCAAATGACTCCACGAATGCAGCCAGATCCCCTGTTGTTGTTGTTTGTTTGACCCTTATAACTCCAAACAAGAAATAGGGAACACAAGGTGGACCTTTAGTCCCCAGGATCCTGGGTTAGGGAGATGCTGAGAAGTTTGAAGGGGAGGTTAGGAAATATTTTTGAGAGCAAAGGCATGCCTCAAGTGTTTCCTGAAATGCCCCAGATGAGAGTGGAGCACTCAGGTGGAAGAGTCATTCTTTCCAACTTTGAGGATGGTTAGTTCTGGCTAATGTGAATCATGTTTTACGTCAGCAAGGACTGTGCCCAGCCCATCATTCATTCTTTAAGCATGCCATGGAAACAGGATGGCCGGAGTAGTGGCTGTGCATGGGAAGCATCATTGCGTCTTATATGCTTCTCCAGTGTGTCTCCATGGTGATTGTTACTTTGGGCTTGGCTTGTGCTTCTATTTGGTTACTTTTTTCGATGAGGCCCGGAATGTGTGGATTTTTTTCTACACACACACACACACACACACACACACACACACACACACACACAATCAGTTAATAGGTAAATGAACACAAGCTGGAAGAGAATGCCCTACCTCAAGGATTACTCTGGGCATCTACAATGATGCCATCAATGATGGCATGGTAAGCAAATGCAGGCTCTTCTCCTACTCTCTCTCTGTCTCTGTCACACACACACACACACACACACACACACACACACACACACACACACACACAAGCAATGGGTATCAGAAAGTCCACTTTGAAAATGGTGCCCTGGTGTTTCCTTATTCACCAGGGTATAGTTTGACCACCAGCACACTGCTGTGCATCATAACTTCCTCTCTCATTGTAGGGTTTCGTTTGACTGTCATCTGGTCGCCATTTTGCCTTCATATGGACAGCATGCCTGACAGCTGAGCTTCTTTCCCCACTGTTTCATTCTGTTTGACCATGTAGACACAAACAACACAGCGTAAAGCCCCACAGATGAGACGGCTCTGGGCTAGAATGCAGGCCACACACTAGCATGAGAACAGCGCCCCTCGCACAGCAGACCTGGTGAGTTTTCTCGAAATCATCTAATAATCCTGTTTCATGTTGTTTATAGCAGCTTTTCCTGCCTTCCAGCTTGGTCATGAGCAGGCTGTGGTTTTAGCAAATATTAATGATCCAAAGGAGATCGCTACAGGCAAGAGTAGAATGTTCTTGCCAGGTGCGGTGGGTGGTACACACCAGTACTCATAGCACTTGGGAAGTGGGTTGAGTGTTCAAAGTTTATCCTCAGCTACATAATAAGTTTGAGGCCAGCGCAAGGACACATGGAAACCCTGTCTCAAAAGAAAATAAACGACTCTAAAAAGGTGAGGCAATTTATTTATGGCCACTAATCAGAATTAGGCTTGTTTCTTCAGTCTCCTCATCCCTGAAATAGGAAAAACTTCAGGCCTCTGAGGTTCTAAGCCGGGTGTGGGTTCTACAGCTGCAGTGTAGGGACCAGACTCCTCTGAATACAAGGAGACAGATGCAAACTGCATTTCCCAATCTGATAAGATCACAATGGCTCTATCACACATTGCTTTGCCTTTTTTTTTTTTTGCAGGTATGAATTATCGGCTTTTTTTTTTTAGAGCCTTGTAATTTGACCATTAGCTAGAAAAATGCCCAGAAGATCTCTCCTTTATGTACCAGCTGACCCATGACCTTAATGAGGCGTCTCTAGAGGGTAGGATTGAGAGTTTTATTTGTCTTGTGTTTGGGGTTAAAAAAAGGGAGGGGCTGCCTCCTTCAACAGTCTTTGGTCCCTAAAATAGCCCCCACTCCCCCGCCAGCAGTGCTATTTACTCAGTCTCTGGGCTACTAAGTGTAGGGGTGGTCCTTGTTGACTTAAATGAGTCCCTGCAGCTAGGTGGGGCTCTCTGGAGCCCTTAGTCATGTGAGGTTGCCAGGGTAACTTAATGTCTCTGGCGCTGGAATGCTTTACGAAGTACAAAGAGGAGACTACAGAGCACATTACAACTTACAGTCATGAGTTCAATAACATGCCATCTTTTAGTAATGGGGCTTTTATTTTTACTTTATTTTGTGGGATTGAAAGATCAGAAGCCGGAAATTAGCTGGAAAGGATAAAGAAAAGGAGAATTTAAAGGGATGGAGGTGGGGGGCGGGGGGGACCGGCTATTTCTGTTCCTTATGCGGGTAATGGCTAAGCAAAGAGAACATCTGGCCTGGAGCAGGGCTCTGCAACATCTGGCCCAGAGCAGGGCTCTCTGCAGTACTGCTTTTAATTACCCAGTCATTTGGTCTCTTGCTAGATTAGTGGCTGTGGAAGCAGCTCAGATCTCCGAACTGACAGGCCTGGAGAGCTCTAACTTAGGCTGCCACATAGTCAGAGGGGAAACGCGGAGCTTCCGGTTTCATATTTAAACCAGGATTGACTCATAATTGTAGCTGTCAGGAGTGTGATGGAGACATTATGTAATCTGGTTCTTATGGTGATATGTGTTTAAGGTTTCTGCTCTGTAAATTCCAGGGGAAATTTTGTGCCCATTGAGGGAGAGCTTGCTGACTGCCTGCTCTGTGGTGTGCCTGGGCAGGGAAATGAGAGTGCAGTCACAGGTTCCTAAGTCTGCCTGAGTCCAAGCATGAATGAATCTCCCCCCTAAGAGGCCTTCCTGGTTTTCCAGAGACTTCAAGTGTGGATGAGGTTAGGCAAAACCTGGCAAACTTTGAAGACGCTGCTGGTCCAGTGGGAAATTTAATAATGGCAAGACATTCAGGTCTGTACATTTTTTGTTTTTGGTTTTTTTCCCCCCTGGGCCACATAGCTGCCTTTGACTGCTTCCTGTCATTTCTAGCCTCAGAGATCTGGAAGTGGTCACCAGATGCTTCTGGAAACAAAGCTCTGGGGCTGTGGATCATTTGTTCCATTTTTTCTTCCATTTGCTACTTGCTTCTCAGAGGCTCTGGGGCCTCTGGGGATGGGTGTGCATTGATTGCAGGGAGCTAGGGGAGGCTGGAGACAGGCCCAGCATTTGCTGCCACCAACAAAACAATAAAACAAAACAACACAAAAACCCAAACAACAAAAATAGAAAAGAAAAATTCAAAGGAGCCTGTTTAAGGTGATGCCAACATATTTGCTAGGGGGGGGACGGGACTTGTTTTCATTTGTTCTCAGCACCCAAGCGATGTACATTCCGTGGATGTGATGAGAAGAATTCACTGACAGAGTATCATTCCCACACCTGAGAAGTGATAAAGATTAAGTCAAAACGTAAAAGGCAAGCGGAGTGGGTTAACTTGTTCCTGGAGAGAGAAGAGTGGTTAGGAGATACGAGGACCAAGCCGTTGACCTTCTCTGACTGGCACAACTCCGTAACTCTGTTTGTGTACCTTTCCTCCCTCTCCTGGAGCGTCCCCCATGCCACTAATACTTGGGGTTTTTTGGCTTTCTATATCCATCGAAGATGACATTGGTATGTATAAAGTGTCATGAACATCATAAGTTATCACCATCATCAGCACCATATCCCTGTCCTCAGCACCATATCCCTGTCCTCACCACCACCATCATCACGATCACCACACCAGAGGGCTCTTCTGATTTGGGACACAAGAATCTCTTAACCATTTTTTTTAAAGCAATATGTCTGGGTTTAGAGGGGGAGTGAGCCAATTCCACCTCTAAAGCCAGCTTGGTATATTTGGGGAGGGGGTAGAAAAGAGGTGGGGGGAGGGGATGGGATGGGAGGAGGGAGAGCAAACTGTGGTTGGTACGTAAAATAAATAAAAAATTTAATAATTTCATAAAAAGGACTGATAAACCTCTATATCATACTTTATTTGATACTTAGGGTTGGAAATAAATATACAGTAGTGGAAGCTTGCTTTCCTTTAGCCTTTACAAACTAGCTCATCAATGTGTTTCAGGTTGTCCTCGAACTCTTTTCATTGTTTGCCTACAGACAAATTTCAGATTCTGGGCTGGAGAGATGGCTCAGCGGTTAAGAGCACTGGCTGTTCTTCCAGAGGTCTTGAGTTCAATTCCCAGCAACTACATGGTGGCTCATAACCATCTGTAATGAGATCTGGCGCCCTCTTCTGGCCTGCAGGCGTACATGCAGACAGAACACTGTACACATAATAAATTAAAAGAAATATTAAAAAAAAAATGTTTAAAAAAATTTCAGATTCTTTATGGAGATGTTCAAGGTCTACCACAATCTGGTTTCAAACTATCCTTCTGATTTTATTTCCTACGGCTCCCAGCTTGCCCACTTCAGTTTTTTTTTTTTTTTTTGCTTTTCCATATTGTATCCCACACATACAATAGTCATTTTAAATGGCTCTGTGTTTCCATATTTTCTCTCTTTCTATACTTTATGTTCTACTTACTTTTGTGTGTTCATGTGTTGCTTATTTTATAACTGACACAGACAACTTAGAAGGAAGCTTCTGGGTGGTCAGACTTTCATTTCCTTAGTTATCGAAAGGAGGATTGTTTTGCTCATGGTTTCTGAGGTTTCAGCCCATGGTTGTACTTGAGCAAAGATAGGTGGTAAGACTATGTGAGCTCCATTACCTCACGGAAACATGGAGATCAGAGGACAACCCATGAGAGCCAGTTCTCTGCCTCCACCCTGTGGATCCTAAGGATGCAGCTCAGGCTGTCATGGTCGGCAGCAAATGCCTTTACCCAGTGAGTCATCTTGTCAGCCCTAGTCATGGTACTCAGAACAGTTAAGTCTGTTAAAGAATGGAAAAGAGGGAACTTCAGAGGGTCCTGACAACTGACACCTTTAATTGATTGCACAGTTGTTTCTTCCTAAAATTGCTTAGCTTAGGGTTCACTTCCCATTCTTGGGACCAAAAAAAGACTTGGAACCTGGTGCGAAGAGGGTTCCAGCCACATCTGGCAATGAGGGTTGTTTTGGTCCTCACTGTTACTGGGATAGGGATGAAGGTGAAGGTGAATAAATTCATATTCTGAGTTAGATGGAGGTTTGTGGCATCATATCCACAAGTTGTTAAGAGCGGCTCATTGTCTTTCTGACTGATGTGTCCACCTTGGCCCTACTTTGATTTGACTGTACAATAATGGATTCATCCAGACTGCTTACCCAGGCCTCCCCATTGTATGAGCTTTAGGTTCAACTCTGAACCCAACCCCTTCCCCGTCCAAACTCTCTCTCTCTCTCTCTCTCTCTCTCTATATATATATATATATATATATATATATATATATATATATATATATATATATATGTATGTATATATATATATATCCATCCTTCTTTCCCCACCTACCCCGTGTCTTCCTCTCTCTTTCCCTCCTCTCTCCCTTCCAACCCTGTCCATTCATTCCCTCTAAGATCTCTCCAAATTCTCATAGAATTTATATTTTCACTGTCACTTGTGGCTCATCAGACTCTTCCCCAAATTTGTACAAAGGAATTGTAAAACGCATAGGAGTGTAATTGTCTGCTAAAGATTTGGAGACATGACAGACAGGCATTCATGTTGCAACTAAACAAATAGTTTCAAATTTAATTTCATGGATCCTTCTTTTCAAGATGCTTCTCCACTGGCTCCTCCTTAGAGACTATCCACAGTTCTCTCACCCTGTGAAATCCCCATTTGTAGCAACTCCTCCCACACTTCCTCTCCTTCCCTTCCTTCTCAGTGCCACTGTGCTCCTTGCTGCTGAGGTCTCCTCCTCTTCCCCTTCCCTCTTTTTTCCTTTTCTTTGTTTCTCTCATTATTCCCCCCTTTACTGCCTTTCCCCGCCCCCACTTCCTCCTTCTTCTCAGATAGGGTCTCATGAAGCCCAAGCTAGCCCTACACTTGCTATGGAGCTGAAGCCGACCTTGAATTTCTGACTCTCTTACCTCCGTCTCCTGGTTTATGCAGCACCAGGCATTGAACCTATGCCTCTGTGGATGATAAAGTAGCACTCTACCAACTGAGCTACATCCCGAGCCCCAAGTCCAGAGGTTCTTACTTATCTCTCCTTTCTTTTATACCAAGATTGGATACCTACTTATGCCTTCAGGGTCATACCATCTTGTCCCAATGGCTATTTCCCCAATGAGGATGCTGTTGTGTTGTACCCGTTTAGAGAAACCCCCAGAGACCACCAAGGAGCTGGTTTCCGATGCAAACACATAAGGGTCCTTTTATTGTCAGGTTCAACCTGGGCCACCACATGGCAGATGGAAGGAAATGTGGTTGGGTCCACGAGCCCAGGTGTAGAGAGTTTTTATAGGGAAAAAACTACAAGCTGGGAATTGGAAACTTGGGATTGGGTAGAAGGGATATGGCGCAAGGTGATTTTTTTGAAACTATTGGTCTAGACTTTGGGCATGAAACCACATTTGAAACCATTGGGTTAGACTTTTGGCAGGGAACCACAACCCGCTGAACAGGATTATCTGGATCTTGTTAAACTTTACTGCCCTGTATCTGTTCAAGTTGTCATGACACATTCCTGAGATTCTTCCTGGAACTTAGTACAGCAGATGGTCTGAGATGGTGGCCCTTTCCCTAAGATGGAGCCTGTAAAGTCAAGTCTAAACCTTCATAGTTGTAATTGTTAAGAAAGTAGCAGCAGTACCTAGTAGCTATGACAACAGAGCATTTATTATTATGACAATAGAACAGAACCACACATTTGTTCCTTCCATGAGGAGCTCTTGTGTTGGGTTTCATCTAGTCCTCACCACAAGCCACTGAGGTATCATTAGTTTCATTTCAGTATTGAAGTCAAAGAGCAGAAAGGATTTTTTTTCCAAGAGAATCTTTAAAACCTAGTACCTATTGAGTTCTTTGTATTGATTCATCGACCTTCTACAAGTTAAGTATAGTCATCCTCACTTAAAGATAGTAACATTCAAAACAGAAAACAGGTGATTTGCTCAAATCCCCACAGTAAAGAATGAGCGGAGCTATGAAAGGTATTGATATAAAAATACCAACACAGCTTTGAAAAAGTTTGTTCCAAGTCAAATATGAGTGAACAGGAATTGGAGTTATTCTAAATGATTTGTTGTATTATGGGAAAGTTTACATGTATATAAGTCTCAGGGAAGGGAGTTATGAGTTGACCTGTCTATAAACTGAACAAGTAGAGTCACCAGGTAGGAAGGCTGCAGCAAGTCCGGGAAATCTACAGAATTTCCAGGTTGACTTTCTCATTTAGGGTTGAGACTAGGTGAGTCCAGCTTAACCCTACATCCAAGAGTATTATCTGAAAGTGAAGAAGATGTTAGATCAAATAAAGAGGTTGATGATACACGGCAATGAAAAAGGGCCAGAGACCAAGACAGTCTGGGCTCTGAACCTGTAACATCCCAGCTCTTGGCAATCACTATGCTCTGCTCATTCAGCCGAAGTTAAGCAGGCTACAGAACCTTCACTGCAGGCATTGCTTCTTCAGGAACTTCCAGCTCACTGGGAAACTGGACAGTTAAGATCTAGAGCTCAGGGGCTTTTGAGAAAGTGATGGTGTGATTTGGTGTTCTCTCCCAAGTCTTCTGATGCAGATCCATAGCTCCTTCCCTAGAGAAGCTAATAGTTCAACCCGTTATCACATTTTAGATCCTTCTACCCCCATTTTACTTTTCCTTCATTGCATTGAGTTCTATCCAGTATGTTTCTTTTGTCTTTTCTTGATAGTGGGGGCAGTATGGGAGGTTGCAACATACATGCTCATTCCCTCCGACCTTTTTTACTTATCCAGGTTTTGAGACAGGTTTCAATAAGTTGCTCATGCAGGCCTTGAAGTGTGGTCCTTTTACCTTAGCTTCCCAAGTAATAGGAATAGGAATGTAGGCGTGCCTCATAGACCCAGGTTCTTTGTAGCATGTTATGTATTTAATTACTTTAAAAAAATGGAGTGTCAGTTCCCTGGGGCTGATGTGTTTCTGTCTGTTTTGCTCACTGCTAAATTCCCAGGGGCTTATCTATTGCACGAAGTAGGTGCTCCACACGTAGTCCCTGAGAAAGAATGTGTGTGGTTGCTGACAAAAAGGACAAGTGTCCTAATCATGTCCCAGAAGTTACTTTGGTAACACTTCAGAATCTGTCCTTTCTTCTCCATTTCCAGTTTCCTTCCCCTACTCCTTTATGCAGAAGAGAAGCTGCTGTTTTTTTAAAAAGTTAACTAGTCATGAGAGTTCCAAGTTCACTGTGAATTTCCAACTAGAGAAGAGAAGAGGATATATGTCCTCAGACAGAGAAGGTCTGCTGAGAGCCCAGCCATCCTGGTCTTGGGGAGGAGGCTGATCATTAGGCAACACAGTCAGCTGAAGATGTTTAATTCTGGAAACACTCCAGGAAGCAGCCCTTTGGATAGTGTGAAAAGGCTCTAAAAAAGATCAAACACACACCAGGGAATTGCGTTAGTTACTTTTCAAGGTCGCAAGGACAAACTATCTGAGAGAGCAATTTACGGAAGAGTTTATTTGGGCTCCATCCGAGGGTGCAGTCCATCATGGCAGGGAGGCATGATGGTGGGAGCATGCGCAGCTAGTCACATTGCACCTGCAGATGGGAGGCAGGCGAATGCTGCTGCTCAGCTTGCCTCTCTCTTTATATTTAGTCCCAAATCCTAGCCCGTGAAATGGTGCTGCCCACACTCATGGTATGTCCTCCCTCCTCAGTTAAGGCTTTCTGGAAATCATAGACACACTCAGAGGTGTGTTTCCATGGTGATTCTAAATAAAGTCACGTTGACAGTGGAGATCACCCATCACCGGAAGCCTCAAGCACTGTAGTCCTGACAGGTCCCTTTCCCATTCTCTTCTCTGTTTTTCTCGTTTAATAGTCTCCACTTTGGTGTCTCTGCTTTCCTTATCAGGTTGCTTCCCAGTCGTAAAGAATACTCCTTGATTTGCAAGGTCACCCTGTCCATTTAGAAAATGAAGAAAACTGTTCTCTTGAAAGCTTGTCTAAGAGGTTCTAGCAAGCGAGGGAAGCATCTTGTATACACCTAGCTGAGTCACAGTCTTCCTTTGTAGTAGGGGGCAGGGAGTCGTTGACAGAGCTCAATGATTTGGAAGGATGTACACAGAATGATGATGGAGAAAG